AACATATATATTTAAAAACACAGGCTACAACTATCATAGAGACAAACATAGCAAATACACCAAGTTAGTCATAGTATAAAATAACAGATTTGTATCTAAATCTACAAGTCATATCAATAATGTAAATAGGCTTATCTTTCTAAAATACAAAGCACTATAACTTGACTTATAAAATAAGATCCAATCATATATTATATGCAAGAAATATACGTGAAAGAAGTGTTTTAGGAGGCTGAAAATACAGTAATGAACAAGAAAACAGTAGACAAATTGAAGCAAAATGAAAGTAGTAATAGGTACCTGATATCAGACAAAGTAGAATTCAAGCCCAAAAACATTAATCATAACAAATGTCAATCTTAAATGCTACAAGCCACAATTAACAATCAAGGTATATAACTTATGAATGCCTATGCATCAAAAACAGCAACCACCTTGATAAAGTAAAACCTAATGAGAGTCAATAATATAGACAGAATATGTTAATAATTGGAGACTTTAATACATCACTCTCAGTTCATGACAGATCAATTAGGGGAAAAGAATGACTAAGGAGAGAAAAGAGATAGACAACATAATCCTTAGGGTAAATGTTACGAATATAAAACTATACTTGCTCTTAATAGAGAATATTTGCATGAGTATTAGAGTAGTATATGGGCTCATGATCCATTTACAAACATTGATCAATTGATCACCAAAATAATCTGCAATTTTATAAAACATAAATATTATAAACAATACAGGTGATAATGCTATAAAACATGATATTACTCACAAAAACAAAACAAAAACACCCAGAAAGACTCTTCCACCTGGAAATTTAAAACATCCCATTAAACAAGTCTAGTGTGTGCAAGGGGAAATACAGTTACAGAAGTTAAGAAATTATAATAGGCCGGGCGCGGTGGCTCAAGCCTGTAATCCCAGCACTTTGGGAGGCCGAGACGGGCGGATCACGAGGTCAGGAGATCGACACCATCCTGGCGAACACGGTGAAACCCGGTCTCTACTAAAAAATACAAAAAACTAGCCGGGCGAGGCGGCGGGCGCCTGTAGTCCCAGCTGCTCGGGAGGCTGAGGCAGGAGAATGGCGTGAACCCGGGAGGCGGAGCTTGCAGTGAGCTGAGATCCGGCCACAGCACTCCAGCCTGGGCGACAGAGCGAGACTCCGTCTCAAAAAAAAAAAAAAGAAATTATAATAAAAAAACACTACATATCAGCATCTATGGGGTGTATGTAAAGCAGTGCTCAGAGGGAAATCCATTGAACTAAACACTTTAATCAATAAAAAAGCAAAGATTAATAAGGTAGGAGACCTTTAAAATAAATTAATTAAACTAATAAACAAAATTCCTGGTTTGTTGAAAAGATTAAGAAAACAGACAAATCACTAGATAATTTGTTCAGGAGAAGTAGGAGAATGCACTAACAAACTAAGAAATATTCAGGAGGAAATAACTATTGAAACAAAAAAAAATAAAATTACAATATTTTTTAGATCTCCGTGCAAATAAATGTGAAAGCCTGGAAAAAAATCAATAATCTTTTAATAAAATACAGACTGCCAAAATTGAATCCATTAGAGTTAAAATGTTTAAACAGAACAATTTCATAGAAGAAATAAAGTCATTAAGAAACTACTTCACAAAAAGAGCAGCAGGTGCAATTGTTTCACAGGAGACTTCTATCAAAACATCAAACTTCTTCTTGGAAAAGAAGAAATATATTGTAACTCCTTTCATGTGCCAAGTATAACACATACTTAAGCTAGATAAGGACAGCATTAAAACAATTATAGACCAATGTCAGTAAGAAAAGTCAATGCAAGAAAACTACGTAAGATACTTGTAAACAGAATCTAACAAGATGTGAAGAAAATAATACATTGTTAGCAAATTGGATTTATAGCAAAATTTCAAGGTAGGTTTAATATTAGGAAATTCATTTATATAATAAATAATATTAATAGATCTAAGAGGAAAATCACTACTATCTCCACAGATACTGCAAAGGCCATCGGAGAAAACGCCCATCCATGTTAAAAGTAAAAAGACATCCAAGATAATAAGAAATAAGCGATATTTTTAACATAATAAAATACTCATACCTTAGTCCTAAATCCAGTGTCTAACTAAATGGAGAAATACTAAAAGCAATTCTAATAAGATCAAGAACAAGACAAAAATGCCCACTATTTCTGCTCTAATTTAACATTATATTAGAGGTATTATTCAAATGCAATCAGGGAAGAGAGAAGAAATACAGATATAAATGTGGTTAATAATAATAGTACATCTGGAAAATTTCAAAGAATCAATGATAAAACTAATTCAAATAATAAATCAACTCAGTGAATAAGTAGAACAAAACATTAAATTTAAAATTTATGCCTTTATATTTATTTCACAAAAAAGTGAATATACTTAACAGCACTGAACTCTACACTTAAAAATGAATAAGATCGTAAATTTTATGTTACGTGCTTTTTACCACAATAAAAAAATCTATGTATTCATATCAAAAATGATAAAAGTGGGATATAACAGTAGAGAATAAAGATGGCTGACTAGAAGCAGGTAGTGCACTCTGCTCTCAAGAAGAAGAAACAGAATGGCTAGTAAACACTAGTTCTTCAAATGGATCATCCATGAGAACACATAGGGACTCATAACAGAAGCAATGGGACCCATGGAGAACAGAGAGGAGTGAAGCAGAGCAGCCACCCGCCCGGAACTGGCGCAGAGGCAGTGGAAGCTCACTACCACAGGGAAAGGGTGAGTGAGGGAGAGCCCCAGGGATCCACAATTCCTCCACTAACCTTAGCAATCCTAGGAGTGGGAGATCCTCTCAACTCCCCAGGCCTCCAGACTGACACAAAGAGACACCTGGAGTCTGGGCAGAGCCATCACTCAAGGTCATGTGAAGCCCCAAGGACCTTGGATCACTGAGCACCCAGGCACCAGCTTGCATAGACCTGCCAACAAGGAAGGATGGGCTCTTTCACATGCCCCTAGGATAGAGATTGCATCCACAGTGATGAGGAGCAGATGGACTGCAGGCCCCACCTCTGCCGCTCCTCACCTGACAGGGCCTCCCAAATGGGGCCTGCAGCGTAGCCATTCCACCATCTCCTGAGCACTCCGGCCAGTCTTGGCCCAGCATTTCTCTGGGGTGGAGCTCCCAGAAGAAACTCAGGCCTTCTTCCATTGCTGCGGTCATGGTACCCTCCCTTGCTGCCCACAGGCTAGGGAGGAAACAAAGAGCCTGATTGCTTTCACTGACACCTCCACCACATAGCACCTGTGCATCTACCTTATGTAGAAAGAGGACAGACTTATTTACACAAGAACCATCTCTCGCCCTGCTCTTCGGCAGGCAGGCTCCCCTTGCCCTTAACCGCTTGGGCCCCACACTGCTGGGGCCCCTAGGGTAGATGCCCAGCCCCTAGACTTGATCACTCTTATCAGCTGTGGCTCTGCATTTTTCTGGGGTGGAGCTCCCTGAAGCAACTGACAGGCCCTCTGCCATGGCCAGCCACCACAGTCCCCACCCTTACTGCCCCCAGGCTGGGGAGGAAACAAAAAGCCTGAGCCCTTATGCAAGCCTCCAGCATACCAGCAGCTACCTTGCAGAGGCAGCCAGAATGCTTTCTGCGTGACCCACCACCACCAGGGCCCCCTCCCAAATGGTGTTTGAAGCCTTCTGGCTTCCAGTGTACCTACTCAATCCCTACATGACTATTTCATCTGTGACCCAGAGCCCTACTAAAATCCTTACCCCCACAAGCCTGTGATCTTCCCTTAGGCTCTCACTGCCTAAGTGCTCTGCCTAACCCTACCTGAGTTCAGCCAGTGACCCGGGGACCAGCCTGCCCCTTACCATCACAACCAGCACCTGAGGAACCCCACCTCCACAACCTAGCTCCATCAGGACTCATATATGATGTTCAGCCAGCAATCTAGGGACTGAGCAGTTAGAGAACTTCCTACCCCATTCAAATTCTGCTGACATCTGACCACTTCCCTCCCAGCCTGAGGTCCAGCTGACACAACCAGCTGATATCGCCATGACCAACACACAGGCCCAAAGGTAGACTCACCCCCCTTTTACACAAAGAAGTAATGATATCACATTGGAGAACAGGGAAGCTATGAAGCTATTTATATTAATTAGGCTGAGTGATGAAGTTCTGCCCCAAAACCACTCCCATAGAGAGTCACAAATCAAGCAGTCCCCGAAGCTCTCAACCACACTGTGGCCCAGAGATAGACTACAGTGTGTGACTCATCTAGGAGTCATGAGCTCTGGAACATTGTTGTGATAAGGCAACAGTTCATATTCTTGTGTATGTAGGACAAGGAGCTTGTGCAGCACCCCACAATCCCCCACAAAAACTTCAGCACATTTCATTAGGAGCTCCTCCTACTCCTAGCCACCTCCACTAGGGCTGGTGCCTGCACTTGACATAGGAGTATTTGAGGGTAAGCCAGAAGTTCCAGCTCTGCCTAGCTGTGTCCTCCTACCCCCACAGAACAGGAAGCACATGTCACAGAGCACTTCGTGCTTCAGCCCACTAGCTGAAACAACAGAGAGCATCTCCCAGTAAACAAAGATTAGTTACATATCCATCTGTTGCACAACCACTAGCTCTGAACCATAAAACCTTTGATAAAAGAAAAACTTCAGCTGAATTATATTTTTAAAAGTTTAATTTAGCAATGAACAATTCGTGAATTGGGCAGTCCCTAGAATCACGCATATTCACAAAGACTCCAGTGCAGCCACATGGTGGAAGATTTTTAGACAAAAAAAGGGAAATGACATACAGAAATTGGAAGTGAGGTACAGAACAGCTGGATTGGTTACAGCTCCACATATGCCTTCTTTGAACATAGTTTGAACACTCAGCAGTGTATGTATGGCCGCTGGGACTGGCTAAAACTTAGCTATTGTTACAAATGCATACTACTAAGTTAGGTTTTCAGTTTTGTCTGCCTATTAAGCTAGGTTACAGTTCATCCACAAGGACTCAAATATAGAAGTATGGAGTCCCTCTCAGGCCATATTTAGTTTGCTTTAACACCATATACCAGCATGTAGGTTGAACTACACAGCCCAATATGAAACCTGCTGACAGAAGTATGTAGCAATATGGACGTAAAGCCAAAAGACCCTCTCCAACATACTTTATAGTCACACCCTCTGTCAAGGAGGAGAAAGGGAAAGAAGAAAAAAAAAACCAATAATATACAGATTTAAAGGTGGGGGGGGAATTTTACCTATAGGAAAATAATTACAAAAATTAGAAATGCCAGTTATCTCCAAAGGAGAAAGAACCCACACAAGAATTCTGGCACCATGAAAAATGTGAATGCTGTGACACCACCAGAAGATCACACTAGTTCTCCAATAATGGCCCCCAACTAAAATGGAAACTCAGAAATGTCAGCTAAAGAATTCAACCCATGGATTCCAAGAAAACTCAAAGATGTTCAAGATGAGATTGAAAATCAACAAAAAGAAACTACTAACACGATCCAGGAAAAGAAGGAAGAGATAAGCACCTTCAAAAGAAATCAATCAGAGCTTCTGCAATTGAAAACCTTACTTAAAGAATATCAAAATACAATTGAAAAATTTATCAATAGACTAGACTAGACCAAGCAGAAGAAAGAATTTCAAAGCTTGAAGACCGGCCCTTTGAGCTAACCCAGTGGTGTGGGGGTGGGGGAAAATAAATAAGTAATTTTTAAAAATGAACAAACTAGGATATTTTGTCTCATACTTACAGTGGACGACCTTGATTTTCCACTTCTCTTCAGGAATGAGTCATATGGTGGTAGAAAATGCCCTCGACCTGGAGGAGCAGTTTGCTCATCTGGACCTGAACTCCTCTGATAAACAGAGTGGAGGAGGAAGTACAGCAAGCCAAGAGTGCTATATACCTCCTCACTCAAGGAACAAGGAAGCATCTAAAGGATTCTATGATAAAGACAGTTCAGGTTGGAGTTGTAGCAAAGATAAGGATGCATATAGCAGTTTTGGGTCTCGAGATTCAAGAGGAAAGCCTGGTTATTTCAGTGATTATGGAAGTGGATCAAGGGGAAGATTTGATGATCCTGGATGGAGTGACTATGATGGTATTGGCAGTCATGGTGACAGAACTGGCTTTGGCAAATTTGAACGGAGTGGACACAGTCATTGGTGTGACAAGTCAGATAAAGATTATTGGTCAAAACCACTTCCACCAAGTGAATGCTTGGAGTAGGTACTCTTTTCTGGAGGAAACACTGGGATTAACTTTGAGAAATGTGATGACATACCAATAGAGGCAACCAGCAGTAACTGTCTTCCACATATTGAAAATGTCAGCAATGTTGACGTGGGAGAAATTATCATGGGGAACATTGAGCTTGTTACCTGCGTCTGTATAAGAGACCACTTGAGCAGGCTTAGTGTGAGCAACAAGGCTGTTTATTCACTTGGGTGCAAATGGGCTAAATCTGAGAAAGGAATCAGCAAAGGGTGGTGGGATTATCATTGGTTCTTACAGGTTTGGGATAGGTGGTTGAGTCAGGAGCAATTTTTTGCGGGCAGCAGATAGATGTTACAAAGTACATTCACAAGGGCAGGGGGCGGGGGGGAATGTTACAAAGTACATTCACAAGGGTGGGGCTGGTGTATTGCCACAAGGGCAGGGGAGAAATGTTACAAAGTACATTCACAAGGACGGGGAATATCACAAAGTACATTATCACAAGGGCGGGGGAATGTCACAATGGCTTGACCATGGTGCGGCCAGCTCAGAGGACATTATATTCCTGTCTTTTTATGTTAATAATGAAGAAATAAAATAAGAAAGTAATGAAAACTTTGGGTGAAAATTTTGGGGACAGTATGGATGGGTGATGGGCAACATTTCTCAGAGCTGCTTCAAGTGGGATTGGGGCAGTGTGGGAACCCAAAGTGGGAGAGATTAGACTGAAGTAAGATTTTGGGGGAAGGGGTGATATTGTGGGGTTGTTAAAAGCAGCATTTGTCATACAGAGTGATTAGTGATAGCCTGGATGCAGTTTTGTAGGAATTGAGAGATTAATCGGAAGACATAAGGCCCAATAAGAGAAGGAGGAAGATAGGTATTACAGGACTAACGATTGGAAGAAGCCAGGATACCCAGTTAGAGAGTGACCAGGTGGGTCCAGCATAATTAGTTGCCTGATTAGTGAGTTTTTGAGCTCTTTGAGTTTTTTGATGTTACCATATACCAGGCCAGATTGATTTAAGTGAAAACAACACTCTTCATTAAGAAATATACCAAGTCCTTCTTTTCCAGCAGTGAGTAAATTGAGGCCTTGGCGGTTCTAGAGGACAACTGCAGCTAAAGAGTCAACCTGGGCTTGGAGGACAGATAAAGTTTGTGATATATCTGTAACGCTAGCAGAGAAGTCATTAAAGAGGCTGTGGAATGTTATGACAGAGGTTGAGATGCCTGCTATTCCAGTTCCAAGTGCAATAGTGGAGGCAGAAAGTCCTAGACCCATAAGTAAAGGGATTAGTGGGAAGACTGTTTTTTGTCATGTTGATGTCATGAGGGGGACAGGCAGTTGTTCGTTCCCATCTACAAACTGGATTTTGGGGGTAAGGAAGACTAGGGAACATGTGCCCATCTAGCTGGCAGGTAGGCACATGTAGGTGGAAGAGCCACATAAAAAGAAGAGACCAGCTCGGTCGGGGAGACCCTACCCAAGTGGCGCTAGAGGAATTAAAGACACACACAGAAATATAGAGGTGTGAAGTGGGGAATCAGGGGTCTCACAGCCTTCAGAGCTGAGAGCCCTGAACAGAGATTTACCCACATATTTATTAACAGCAAACCAGTCATTAGCATTGTTTCTATAGATATTAAATTAACTAAAAGTATCCCTTATGGGAAATGAAGTGATGGGCCGAATTAATTGCAGGGGGAACACGCCCTTAAGACACAGATCGCTCAGGCTTTTGTTTGTGGCTTAAGAATGTCTTTAAGTGGTTTTCCGCCCTGGGCGGGCCAGGTGTTCCTTGTCCTCATTCCCATAAACCCACAACCTTCCAGCTTGGGCGTTATGGCCATTATGGACATGTTACATTGCTGCAGACGTTTTGTTTATGGCCAGTTTTTGGGGGGCTTGCTCCCAACATGTCTCCCTTCTTTGATTTGCAAAAAGATAAAAGGGCAGCTTTGTCACGGTGAGCTACTTCTTGCAGGAGTCGGGATCCGCATCTGCAGACTATACAAAGACAAACAACATAGATTAAAAGCACAGTCATCATTGAAATCACAGAGCTTCCAAGTGTTTTTATCCATTTAAATGGGTTACTAGCTGCTAATTTGTCTGCAGCTCCTTTAAACACTCCAGTTTCTGGCATTAAGGTCAGGTGTGCCTGGGATGCTTTAAATATTTGTTCTTTTAATTTTGCTATATCCAAAAACAAGTTTGTAGAGTGTCCTTCTAGATTTTTTTTTATTCTTTCCCAAATTTTGATCTTATTAAGAGCATTAAATAGTTTCCATAAATCCTTATGTTTAGCTCCTACAGCGGGCCATATCATTTGAGGTTGAGGTGCCACTATACCGCCATGGTTCCAGATAATAGGAACTTTTGCCGTACTTATCATTCTTACCATCTGATTTGTTCAGATCATCTGAACATAGTATGGCCATGGCACGCAGACCAAGAGGTGCAATTCAAGCTAAACATCCCCTTAGGGAACCGATCAATAATGATTCCATAGGAATCATTGTGCAGCACCTCTGCCTGTTCTGCAGAGCAATCTTCCTAAACAAGTACATTCATTTTTCCTAACTGGGTCCAATCCTGTTTACAAATGGGTTTTTGAGGGTGGTATGCCTCAATTATAGGATCAGATTTATTATGGTAAATACTGAGATCAGAAAGCATGTGTAACTGTGTCATAGTGATTGCATCCAGGCATTATTACCAGCCCTTATTGAAGGAATACTCACGGCAGTGGTGATAACTGCTATCATAGCTACCATTAAATTATTCATTGTGACTGGTTGTCCCACTTTCCTCAGGTTTTCTTTTGCCATCTGTGACAGCTTCTTGATCTGCCCCCAGGTGTGTTCGACGGGTGAGGGCCGTGACAGTAGGGGTCCTCCTCAGCGTCAGTCTCAACATGTCTGCAACTGGGGGGTCCTCGGGATCCTCCCAGAGTCTCTTCCTCAGCATCCGGCTCATAATAAGGTTTCAGGTGTCTTGATAGTACCCAAATCGGCTGTTGGTTTTGGCCTGGAGAAATACAAGCATAACCTCTACCCCAAGTTATTATTTTACCTATTTCCCAACATTTTGTCATTGGATCTTTTCACCAAATAATGCTAGATTAAATTGTATATGGGCTGTCCTGTAATCCCTATTTCTCCTCCTTTTTTGCTTTTGTCAGCAGTTGTTCATCTATATGAAATTGTAACTGAGCATTTTCAATTAACTGTGTGGAATGAATCACGTATGAAGAATCAGAAATCACATTAATAGGCATATCAGAAGCAGTCAATACCTCAATTACAACTACAAGCACCGCTTTTTGAGTTGAAGTATAGGAAGTCTGGAAAACTTTACTTTTTGAGCCAGAATAAGAAGCTTTACCATTACTAGACCCATCTGTAAAAACATTCTCAGCACCTTCAATTGGTTTAAATTTAGTTATTTTAGGGAGAATCCAATTAGTTAATTTCAAAAACTGAACCAGCTTCATTTTAGGAAAATGATTATTGAGAATACCCACAAAGTCAGCTAAATGGGTTTGCCAAGTAAGACTATTTATAAAAGCTTGCTGTATTTGTGCCTTCGTGAGAGGGACAATAATTTTTCCAGGATCATATCCATGTAATTTAACAATCCAAGTTCTCCCAATCCCTATCATAGTAGCGATTTGATCTAAATAAGGAGTTAGAGTCCGTGAATTAGTATGTGGAAGAAAAAGCCACTCTACTAAGTCCTGTTCTTGGACAATAACACCAGTAGGTGAATGCTGAGTTGAAAAGATTAGCAAATCTAGAGTCTTCTCTGAATCTATTCTATTTATCTGAGCTTTATGGACTTGTTTTTCAATCAGTTGTAACTCTGCCTCCACCTCCTTTGTTAATTGCCAAGGGCTAGTGAGACTAGGATTTCCTCTAAGGATAGAAAACAGATTATTCATGGCATAGGTAGAGAGCAGGTCATATCCAATTAATATCCCCTAGTAATTTTTGAAAATCATTTAATGTTTTTAATTTATCCCTATGTATGGTTACTTTCTGTGGCACAATGATAGTGTCATTTACTAAGGTCCCCAAGTAGGAGTAAGGAGTAGCAGTCTGAATTTTGTCAGGAGCTGTAATTAAACCAGCATGAGAAATTGAATTTTGCAAGTGATCATAACATTGGAGTGGTATTTCTCGAGTGGGGGCAGCACAAAGTATAACATCCATATAGTGAATAATGTAACACTGTGAAAAGTTTTGACGAGTAGGTTCAATGGCTTGTCCCACATACCTCTGGCAAATAGTCGGACTGTTTAACATGCACTGTGGCAACACTTTCCAATGATAATGGTTAGCAGGCTGCAGGTTGTTTACTGCATGAATTGTAAATGCAAACCATTCACAGTCTTGCTCAGCTAAGGGGATAGTAAAGAAACAGTCTTTTAAATCTATGACTATTGAAGGCCAATTTTTTGGAATTATAGCAGGCGAAGGCAATCCTGCCTGTAATGCTCCCACAGGTCGTATAACTGAATTGATGGCTCTTAAGTCAGTTAACATTCTCCATTTACCTGATTTTTTTCTTAATTACAAAAACTGGAGAATTCCAAGGAGAAAATGTTGGAGCTATGTGCCTATTTTCTAATCGTTCAGCAACTAATTTCTCTAAAGCCTCCAGTTTTTCTTTACTTAGTGGCCATTGTTCTATCCAAATTGGCTTATCTGTTAACCATTTTAAAGGTATAGGTTCTGGAGGCTTAACAATGGCCGCCATCAAAATTTTTTTCCTAATCTTTGGTGGGAACTCTGTTTTTCCACTTGAAGCGGTTTTTTTAAACCTTGCAAATTTTTTTCTGGTCTCATACCAGGGACATAACCCATTTCATGCATTGTATGTTGACTTTGAGGGCTATATAATTGTTCTGGAATTAGAACTTGTGCTCCCCATTGTTGTAATAAATCTCTTGCCCATAAATGTATAGGTACAGAAGTTATAATTGGTTGAATGGTCCCAGGTTGTCCATCAGGCCCCTCACAATGCAAAATATAACTACTTTGATATACTTCAGCAGCTTTACCAACTCCAACTATGTTAAATTGAGTGGGTTGAATTGGCCATGTGGACAGCCAGTGCTGTAGAGAAATGATTGAAATTTCCGCTCCCGTATCTACCAAACCTTTAAATTTCTTTCCTTGAATAGTTATTTCACAGGTAGGAAGTTTATCAGTAATTTGATTTACCCAATAATCTGCTTTGCCTTGTTTATTTGTGCTTCCAAATCCTCCCGTTTGTTTAGTTTCACTTTTCCCCATTCCCAAATGTGGCACAATCAGGAGCTGTGCTATGGGCTCTCCTGGCTCTGCTTTCCAGGAACAGAAGTAGATACAACAATTTGAATTTCCCCATTGTAATCTGAATCAATGACTCCTGTATGTATTTGTATGCCTTTTAAACTTACACTAGACCTTCCTAAAAGTAATCCTATTGTCCCTGCTGGCAAGGGTCCACAGACTCCTGTTGGGACCTTTTGCGAGGGTTCCCCAGGGAGAAGGCTCACAGCTTTCGTGCAGCATAAATCTACTGCGGCTCTACTGGCTGTGGCAGGGGACAGACATTGTACAGGGGTGAGGGAATGGCCTGAGCTGGAAATGTCCGAGTTTAGAATGGGGCCCGGGACAGGCCCCTCTCATGGCATTTCCCAAAATCGGGTTCCCTTCTTTATCAAACTTAGAGTGACACTGACTAGCCCAGTGTTTTCCTTTTTTACATTTTGGATATATTTCAGGCTCAACAGTTTTCCTTTTTCCCCTATCTGAAAACCTGAGTTGCTGATTTTTTCTACATAATTTTTTAGTATGACCATGCTTCCCACAGTTAAAACAAGCTCCAGGAAATGGAGTATTTCATTTATCCACTCTCAGTCCTGCCATTGCCTGTGCCAACAACTTAGTTTTATGCAGATTACCTCCAATACCATTATAGGCCTTGATATAATCAACTAAATGTGCTTTCCCTCTGATAGGTCGCAGAGCAGCCTGGCAATCGGGATTAGCATTGTCGAAAGCTAATAATTGCAACACTATACCCTGAGCAGCCGAATCTGCAATCATCTTTTTAAGAGACTCCTGTAACTGAGCTATAAAATCAACATATGGTTCTCTGGGTCCCTGTTTTATAGCACTAAAGGAAGGGTATTGTTCTCCACCTGAAGTGATTTTTTCCCAAGCTCTAATGCACACTCCTCTAAACTGTTCTATGGCATCATCCTGCATGACCAGTTGTGCATCTAAACCAGCCCAGCCGCCAACCCCCAAACGTTGGACTGCAGTTATATTAATTTGAGTTTGGGCCCGGGCATTGCGAGCAGCCTGAAGGGAAGCTTCATCTGCCCACCAAGTTTTAAATTATAAGAACGGAGCAGGAATTAGACAAGCTCAAGTAAGAGCGTCCCAGTCAGTAGGTGTCGGTATCATTCGACTAGAAACAGTAACATTCTTTAACAGCCCCACTACAAAAGGAAAACCTGGTCCATACTGACTTATTGCTTGTTTTAATTCTTTGAGTAATTTAAATGGAAAAGGCTCAAATGTAGCTATAATATTCCCCTCTTGATCTGGGGTGTGTATTCTAACAGGGAACTGCCAAGTCTCTAAATCACCCTCTTGTCTAGCTTGCTGAATTCCTGCCTGAATCAAACTAAGAGCAGTCGCTCGAGGCGCTGCTCGAACAGTAACTGGGGTAATTACTTTTCGCCCAGTGTACTCCGGAAAAGAAAGATCTGGGGGGTCATTTTCTTCAAAATAATAATGAGGGGGTGCAGAAGGGTAGGGATGAACCTCTCCTTCATTTGCCGCTTTAGCTTCAGCTGGCAAATAAACATGCTCTGTAACCTCTTCTGTTACTTCGCTATACTCTTGTTCCTTCTCCTTATCAGTGTGAAAAAGTTCCAAGGTGAAACGAACCAGACCTAAACTTGCTCCATTGTTACCCTGAAGCTTCTGAGCTCCTCTTCTTACTCACCAGGGGATTGCTTTAAGAGTACTCGGGTGTCCTCCAGCTAGTTTTCCATTCCAACCATCGCTCCGGCAACCCTTCGACCTGGATTCCAGCCCCCATGAATGGACGCCTGTTGCTGAGACCAGCTCGGTTGGGGAGACCCTAACCCAGCGGTGCTAGAGGAATTAAAGACACACACACACAGAAATATAGAGATGTGAAGTGGGGAATCAGGGGTCTCACAGCCTTCAGAGCTGAGAGCCCTGAACAGAGATTTACCCACATATTTATTAACAGCAAACCAGTCATTAGCATTGTTTCTATAGATATTAAATTAACTAAAAGTATCCCTTAAGGGAAACGAAGGGATGGGCTGAATTAATGGCAGCAGGAACACGCCCTTAAGACACAGATCGCTCAGGTTTTTGTTTGTGGCTTAAGAATGCCTTTAAGCGGTTTTCCGCCCTGGGCGGGTCAGGTGTTCCTTGTCCTCATTCCGGTAAACCCACAACCTTCCAGCTTGGGCGTTATGGCCATTATGGGCATGTTACATTGCTGCAGAGATTTTGTTTATGGCCAGTTTTTGCGGGGCTTGCTCCCAACAACCTTGTGTTAGGCAGAACTGGAAATGTAAAGTGAAAAGGTGACATGGTGTACTGAGAGGAGTCCTGCACCCCAAATCCTAGAGATCCAGCAAGGACAGCAGCTGTTAGAGGTTGTAATGGGGATTGATGGTGCAATTGTGTAGAGTGAGAGGTTTGGTTTTCATGGCATATGAGAAAGCGCATAGTGTCTATGAGTAACTTTTCACTGCTATTGATGGGGCTGGGTACAAGCAAGCAAGAGGAGGGGTCAGGAGGAGAGTCAGATGAGCAGGGAGAGGGTAGCCAAGGATGGAGTGAGATGCAGGGTAGGTGTCTTCCTAAACAACAGTGACTGCCAATGTTTTTTTAGTTTGTCAATAATGATAGAGGGCTTATCAGTAATGCGAAGTTGGAATGCTCCCATCTGTTTGGTAATGTGTGTGGCTGGGTTCTGGAGATAAGGACTAAAGGAACATTTGGAGGGCAGAAGGTTGCCTAAAGGGATTCCAGTAGGCTGTTGTCAGGAGATGCATAAAGGAGCAGCAACAGGGATAGTTGTCTGTGTGGTTAGGGGTCCAAATATTGGCGGGGGGAGGGGGGTGGAATTGACATAAGGAGAAAGGTGCCACAAGTAGATGCGGAGAAGTGTGGCAACCTGTTGGTGCGAAATGTCTAGGGAGTTCTCACCAAATCTGTCTAGAAAGTAAAGAAGTTCCTCAGGCGGGTAAAGATGAGGACTATTAAAGGAGGTTCGGAGGTGCAGGGCGACAGGAGAGGTAGCCCAGTCGGCCTGTAGAGCGGGGATGGCTGTGTAAGAGCAGGAAGAAAGGGAAACACATAGCCAACAATTCTTTGCTAGAGAAGGATTAGAGGCAGTGAGGAGAGAGTGGGTGAGATTGATAGTATGCTGGGGGTACCTAGGAAGAGGTAAGAGTGACTGGAGAATGGGGGCAAGGATTAGTGTATAGAAAAGTAAAAAAAAAAAAAAAGGACTTCATCAGGATAGAAGAATTGTGTACCTCGCCACTGAAGATCTTCTATCCACTCCCAGAGCGAGTTAAGGGTGGTGGTTTGAGGTAAAACCAGGAGATATCAGTTATGATGGTTTGGAGGAAAAGTGTAAACCAGCAGTGTAAACAAGGGCAAGGCATTTATGAGTAGTTGAGAATGGTGAATAGGAAGTATGACTAGACTGAAGATAGTAGGGAAGACAAGTTTTTGGGGCACAGTCCAAGTAGTGGGGGTGACTGCATAAAGCCCTGTTACAAAAAGTAGGGTAAGGATGAATAGACCTAATAGAATGAAGGAATGTATTAGGCTCATAAGGGTTATTACTGTTCTTCAGAAATGCGAGTGAGTTTAAGGGAAGTAGGGGAGAGTACCTGCGATTTCCAGGAGGAAGAGGAGAGATCAGGCTGGCTGGTGGGCACAGCTTTATTCTGGAATGATGAATCCAATAGGGAAGGTCCTGCAGGCGGACAGCAGTTGGGGTACTATAGATGACTAAATAGGGTTCAGCCAATTGAGGTTGTAGAGTTTGAGGGGTCAGATTCTTAACAAGAACTGATTGTCCAGCTAGGGTGTCTTCATATGGCTGGGAATCTAGAGTAGGCAAGAAAAGATTAGCAGCCTGGTGAATTTCCTGTCTAGCCTGCTGGAGGACCAGAAGATAGTCCTCCTTGAGAGCTGGTGTCTGGCATGAGGTTGGGGCCCAGCAAGAAGGCACGTCCATGTAAAATTTCAAATGGACTATACCCTGTAGCTTCTCAAGGATAGGCTCTAATTCTAAGGAGGGCAAATGGTAAAAGTGCTGTCCAGTCTTTTTTAAGTTGGAGGCTGAGCTTGGTGAGGTGTGTTTTTAAAAGACCATTACTTCTTTCTACCTTTCCCAAAGATTAAGGATGGTAGGGGGTATGAAGTTTACACTGGATGCCAAGGGCCTGGGAGACTGCTTGAGTGACCTGACTAATGAAGGCCGGCCGGTCCGTTATCAGACTGTATAGAGGTCAGAAGGCCAAACAGAGGAATTATGTTTGACAGAAGGGAAGAAATGACTGTGGTGGCCTTCTCAGACCCTGTGGGAAAGGCCTCTACCCATCCAGTGAATGTATCTACCCAGACCAAAAGGTATCTTAGTTTTTTGACTCAGGGCATATGGGTAAAGTCAATCTGCCAGTCTTGGGTGGCGGCAAATCCTCTAGCTTGATGTGTAGGAAAGGGAGGGGGCCTGAGATATCCCTGAGGGGTGGTAGAGTAGCAGATGAACCACTAAGAAGTAATTTCCTTGAGGATGGATTTCCATGATGGAAAAGAAATGAGAGGTTCTAAGAGATGGGCCATTGGCTTGTAACCCACATGAAAGAGGTTATGAAAGGATGATAAGATAGAATGAGCCTGTGAGGCAGGAAGGAGGAATTTTCCTTGATCCAAGGACTACTTGCCTTGAGTAGGAAGGGACTGATAGGTAAGAGTTTCAATGGGAGAATAGGTGGGAGTGATAGATGAGAAGGAAGAAAACTGGACAGATATGGGAATACTAGCTGCTTCTTTTGCTGTATTATCAGCATAAGTGTTGCCTCAAGCAATGGGATCTGGTGACCTCTGATGCCCTTTGCAGTGAATGACTTCAGCTTCCTTGGGCAGTACAGCAGTCTTAAGGACGATTTTTATTAAGGTGCGTTGATGATGGAGGACCCTTGTGTAGTAAGAAAACCTCTTTCTGCCCGAATAACAGCATGGTGATATAGGATGTGGAAGGCATACTTGGAATCAGTGTAGATATTGACACGTAGTCCCTTTGCAAGGGTAAGGGCCCAGTTTAAAGCAATGAGTTCGGCTTGTTGAGAGGTAGTGGAAAGGGGCAGGGCAGTAGCTTCAATGACAGATGTGGAAGACACTACAGCATAGCCTGCCCTTGCTGGTGACTGATGATTGGGCCTTGAAGAACTACCATCATAAACCAAGTGTGGTCTGGATTAGGAACAGGAAAGAGGGAAATATGGGGAAATGGGGAGGATGCCATATGGATTAGAAAGATACAGTCATGAGGTTCAGGTTTGGTGCTAGGTATAAGGTGAGAGGATGGGTTGAAGTTTGTGCCAGGACACAGACTTTGTGGGAGTTTCAATGAATACTTAGTAAAGTTGGAGGAGTTAGGGGGCGGAAAGTATATGCGCCAAGCGTGATTAGGAAAACAGATGTTGAAACTTATGAGAGCTGTAGAGAGTAAGTGGGGCATGGATTGTGATCTTGAGGGCCTCTAGAAGTATTGAAGCGGCAGCTGCTGCCGCACGTCGACATGAAGGCCAGGCTAGAACTGTGAGGTTAAGTTGTTTGGATAGGAAGGCTACAGGTCGTGGGCCTGGTTCCTGTGTAAAAACTCTTGACCGCACAGCCTTGTATTTCAGCTGTATGTAAGAAGAAGGATTGGGACGAGTTAGGGAGTGCTAATGTGGGGACTGTTTCTAGGGCTGTCTTTAAGGAACAAAAAGAAGAGTGGGGAAAGGACTTAGGGTCTATGGGGTCAGTCAGGTTTCCCTTTGTGAATTTATATAGTGGTTTAGTTGGATTGCAAAACCTGGTATCCAAAGGCGAAAGTATCCAACCACGCCTAGGAAGGAAAGGAGTTGCTGCTTTGTAGAAGTGGTTGGGGTTTTGGAGATTAGCCATACACAGTTAGCAGGGAGAGCATGTGTGTTTTGATGAAGGACTCTGCCAAGATAGGTAATGGATGGGGAAGAAATTTGGGCTTTAGAGGGGGATATATGATACCGCTTTGAGAATATATGTTGAAGGAGCAAGAGGGTATCCTGTTGGGAAGATTCATAAGAGGGGATGCAGAGGAGAAGGTTGTCCATATATTGAATAAGGTGAGAAACAGATGGACGGAAAGAAAGTAGATCATGAAAAGAGTTTGACTAAAGTAATGGGGGCTGTCTCTGAAGTCTTGTGTCAGTACAGTCCAGGTGAGTTGCTGAGACTGGTGGGTGTCAGGGTCAGTCCATGTGAAAGCAAAAAGAGGTTGGGATGAGGGGTGCAAAAGAATAGTGAGGAAAGTATGGATGTAATAATGAGTTGTGAAGGGAGGTATTGAGGATAGGAGAGTATATGGGTTTGGCACCACAGGATGGATAGGTAAGACAATTTGGTTAATAAGGCAAAGATCCTGAACCAAGCTGTAAGATTTGTCCGCTTTCTGGACTAGTAGGATAAGGGAGTTGTAAGGAGAATTTGTAGGCTTTAAAAAGCCATGCTGTAACAGGTGAGTGATAACAGGCTTTAGTCCTCTTAAAGCCTGTTGTGGGATGGGATACTGGTGTTGAGCGGGGTAAGAGTGATTAGGTTTTAATGGGATGGTAAGGGGTGCCTGATCAGTCACCAAGGAGGGAGTAGAGGTATCCCATACTTGTGGATTAAGGTAGGGAGACATGAGAGGAGAATTCAAAGGAGGCCTTGAATCAGGTAAAAGGACAGCAATGAGGTGTGGTTGTAGTCCAGGAATAGTCAGGGAAGCAGATAATTTAATTAAAATGTCTTCGCCTAGTAAGGGAACTGGGCAGGTGGGGATAACTAAAAAAGAGTGCATAAAAGAATGTTGTCCAAGTTGGCACCAGAGTTGGGGAGTTTTAAGGGGTCTAGAAGCCTGGCCGTCAATACCCACAACAGTTACGGGGGCAAGGGAAACAGGCCCTTGAAAAGAAGGTAATGTGGAGGGGGTAGCCCCTGTATCGATTAAACAGGATATGGACTTACCCTCCACTGTAAGAGTTACCCAAAGCTCGGCGTCCGTGATGGTCCAAGGGCTTCCAAGGCAATCAGGCAGCATCAATCTTCAGCCGCTAAGCCAAGAAGATCTGGGAAGGAGTCAGGCAAGGAACGCTGGGTTTGAGCTCCAAGAGCTTTAAGAGTGGCAGCGATGTGAGTCAGACAGTCTGACTTCCAGTGGGGGCCCACACAGGGGTTTCAGCGTGTAAGGAGCCCCTGGGAGCTGCAGCTTAGATGTTCTGAAGGTTTTGTATGCTGGAGAAGTGGTTGTGGGTTGTCTTACAATGGAGGCAAGCAGCTATAACTCAGAGATACGTTGCCACTTTGCAGCTGCTTTTCTGTTATTGAACACCTTGAAGGTGAGGTTAATTAAATCCTATTGTGGGATTTGAGGGCCAGAATCCAACTTTTGGAGTTTTTTTCTAATGTCAGGATTGCATTGGGTCATAAAATGCATATTAAGGATAAGGCGGCCTTCTGGACCCTCTGGGTCTAGGGCTGTAAAGCATCTAAGGGTAGCTGCTAAGCAGGCCATGAACTGGGCTGGGTTTTCATTTTTACCTTGGGTAGTTTCCTTTAGCTTGTCATAATTAACAGCTTTGTATGCTGCCTTTTTGTGCCCCTAGACTAGGCAGGAGACCATGTAATCTCACCTAGCTATACCTGGGGAGTCTGTGTGGTATTGCCAACAGGGATCCTCTCGGGGAACTGTCCTGGTATGCTCTTGGAGCCCTGGCTCATGAAGCTGGCAGGTGTCTGCATAGGACTGGGCTAGAGAATAAACTCTTTCTCATTTATCTGGGTAGAGGGTAGAGGTCAGGATGACATTTATCTCACTGCAGGTTAAATTGAAGGACTGAGTTAGATATTGGAATTCCTGTATATATTTATTGGGGTCTGATGAGAAAGAGCCTAAATGCTGTCTGATTTGGGAAAGGTCTGATAGAGAAAAAGGCACATGTACCCTGAATATGCCTTCAGCTCCAGCCACCTCTCTAAGAGGAAATTGTTGGGCAGGTGGGGGAGACCTAGTCATGGAATGAAACTGTAAGCCTGACCGGGTGTGAGGAGGGAAGGTAATAGAAAGGTTATAGGGTGGAGGAGTGGAGGCTATGGAAGAATTGGGACCTGATTCAGCCTGGCGAGGAGTGGCCAGGGGAGGAGAAAAGAGGTAAGAGGGGTCAGTGGAAAAGGAGGATTCAGAGGACTCTGAGTTTGGGGTGGAGACCAGAAGAGCGGATGGGAGAGAAAGAAGGAAAATCTGGGACAAGTTGCATTGGGAGCAGAGACTAGGGAGGGAAGGAAGTGTAAAAAAATGCCTGGATGTAAGGCACCTTGGACCATTTGCCCATTTTTTGACAAAAATTATCTAGGTCTTGTAGGATAGACAAATCGAAAGTGCCATTCTCTGGCCACTTGGAACTATTGTTGAGTTCGTACTAGGGCCAAGCAGTATTACAGAAAAAATAAGATGTTTAGGTTTTAGGTCAGGTGTTAGTCGAACGGGTTTTAGGTTTTTAAGAACACAGGCTAAGGGGGAAGAGGGAGGAATGGATGGCAGAAAGTTACCCATAGTGGAGAAGGTAAGTTTAAAAAGGAAGGTAGAGACATGGAGAAATGGAGGTGGCAGCTACAGACTTCCAGTAGGCATCCCTGACTGAGTCCTGGGCTGTAATATGGGTGAGCAGCCAAAGCAGGCATCCCCACAATTGACCTGCCACCAAGGGAATGTGGGTGAATGATCAAGGCAGGTGTCCCCATGGTGATCAGACACCAAGGGCAGACTGTCTTTCCAAGTCCGTGACCAACATTGGAATTTTTGAATGCACGGATAAAGTGTGTCTCCTTTTTGTCTCTACCAGGAAGGGAGAGGAACTGAAATTGAAAGGAAAGAGATTGAAGGGAGGTGAGAGAGGTTAGGTAGAGAGCGAAAAAAACGCTCACCCGCGTGTGAAGAACTGCTTACCGATTTGAAATTGGTGAGATGGTCCTTGGGCTGGCTGGTCTGATGACCCGAGGTCATAGGTGGATCTCCTCACAGAGGGAGCGTGAGGACAGGGGACCAGTCTCTCGAAGGAGTTCCCCTGTCCCGGGTCTTTGGCACCAAATATTATGCGTGTCCGTATAAGAGGCCACCTGATTAGGCTTAGTGTGAGCAACAAGGCTGTTTATTCACTTGGGTGCAAGTGGGCTGAGTCCGAGAAAGGAATCAGCAAAGGGTGGTGGGATTATCATTTATTCTTTTAAGTTTGGGATAGGCGGTGGAGTCAGAAGCAATTTTTTGCAGGCAGGGGATGGATGTTACAAATACATTCACAAGGGCAGGGAGGAATGTTACAAAGTACATTCACAAGGGCGGGGGGCATGTATTGTCACAAGGGTGGGGAGGAATGTTAGAAACTACCTTTACAAGGATGGGGAATATCACAAAGTACATTATCACAAGGGCGGGGGAATGTCACAATGGCTTGACCACGGTGCGGCCAGCTCAGAGGACCTTACAGAGCTTACTCACTATACTCATCCTACTCCACTGCAAAAACATGCCATTCCTATTATTAGGGGAAAAAGAGACTTAATGGCTTGTGCCCAAGCAGGGTCTGGGAAAACTGCAGCATTTCTTTTACCTGTACTGAGTCAGATATATAGAGATGGTCCAGGAAAAGCTTTGAAGGCTGTAAAGGAAAATGGAAGGTATGGGTGCCATGAACAATACCCAATCTCCTGGGTTTTAGCCCCAACAAAAGAACTGGCTGTACAGATATGAGGAAGCCAGAAAATTTTCATACCAGTATAGAGTTCATCCTTGTGTAGTTTATGGTGATGCTGATATTGGTCAACAAATTCAGGTCTTGGAACATAGATGCCACTTGTTAGTAGCCACGCCAGGACGTCTAGTGGATTTGATGGAAAGAGGAAAGATTGGATTAGACTTCTGCAAATACTTAGTGTTGGATGAAGTTGATAGGATGTTGGATACAGGATCTGGACCTCAGATACATTGTATACTGAACAAGATACTATGCCACCAAAGGGCATTCATCACATCATGATGTTTAGTGCCACTTTTCCTAAGGAAATACGATGCTTGCTCGTGACTTTTTGGATGAATATATATTTTTGGCTGTAGGCAGAGTAGGCTCTACCTCTGAAGTAGTTTGGGTGGAAGTAGTTTGGGTGGAAGAGCCAGATAAACGGTCATTTCTGCTTGATCTCTTAAATGCACCAGGGAAGGATTCACTGACTTTAGAGTTTGTGGAGACAAAAAAGGGAGCAGATTCTCTGGAGAATTTCTTATACCATGAAATATATCCTTGTACTAGTATTCATGGAGACCAATCACAGAGAGATCAAGATGGAGGCCCTTCACCAGTTTTCCTTCAGGAAAAGTCCAATTCTAGTGGCTACAGCTGTGGCAGCATGAAAACTAGACATTTCAAATGTGAAACATGCTTCAATTTTGATTTGCCAAGTGATATTGAAGAATATGTGCCTTGTATTGGCTGTACAGGATGTGTGGGAAACCAGGGCCTTGCCATCTCATCCTTTAATGAAAGAAATACGAATATTACAAAGGATTTGCTGGATATTCTTGTAGAATTTAAACAAGAAGTGCCTGCTTGATTGGAAAACATAGCTTATAAACACCACTACAAGGGTGGTATTCGTGCATGATCTAAAAGATTCAGTGGAGCATTTGGTGCCAGAGACTATTGACAATGTAGTGGTTCCAGCAGTTCTGGCTTTAGTAGTAGTCATACAAGCAGCAGCTGCAGTGGTGTAGGTGGTCATGACATCAGCAGCAGATGTGGTAGAGGTGGCTATGGAGGCTTCTACAACAGTGATGGATGTGTAGGAAATTATAACTCTTGTTATAAGAGTTACTAAGAGCCAGGCGTGGTGGCTCACACCTGTAATCCCAGCACTTTCGGAGGCCGAGGTGGGTGGATCACAAGGTCAGGAGTTCGAGACCAGCCTGGCCAAAATAGTAAAACCCCGTCTCTACTAAAAATACAGAAAAAATTAGTCCAGCATGGTGGTGTGTGCCTGTAATCCCAGCTACTCGGGAGTCTGAGGAGGAGAATCGTGGGAACCCAGGAGGCAGGGGTTGCAGTGAGCCGAGATCATGCCACTGCACTCCAGCCTGGGTGACAGAAGAAGACTCCGTCTCGGGAAAAAAAAAAAAAAAAAAAAAAAAAAAAGAAATTATTTAAAAATGCAGTGAAGACAATTATAACTTTCAATAACAAATTAAAAATTATATGAGGAGGTCAATTTTTTCGGAGGTGGTAAAGAATTAAAACAGATTATTAAGCTATTAATTCCCAATTTGACACATGGACAACAAAAGTAAGTTTTCATGGAGCTACTCATAAGAATTTTTCTCCTTATGTTTTATATAGCAAGGAATGTTTTTAGTAGCAATATTATTCATTTATAAAATAAATGTGGATTCAATTAATAAACTGTATTCATACTCGGGGAAAAAAAAAAAAAAAATCATTTTAGGCAGATAGGAAATGGGGTCCTTGGGAAGTTTTTGTTTCTTTTAGAGCAACTCCAGAAATTCGTGAGATGGTTTCTTATCTAGCAGGAAAGCCCTGGCTCTTAGAGCTGGGCCAGCAAGCTTTGATATGCAAATACCAGCCATCAGAAACTTGGCCCACCCAAACATGGCAATTCCTGCAGTCTTATTCTTGCCCTGGCCTCCACATGTGCCTGGCGACACGGCCACCCCCACATATCCACACATGTGTAAAACATCCTGGTGCCCTGTATTTGCATATTAAAAGGCTAGGGTGGAAGGGCCAGTTGTTTTCTCCTGCTACTTGAATGACATGCTTGGTCAAACCAATCCCCCGAGCCCTATCCAAATCAGACACCACCTCCTCCAGCCTCCTCATATAAGCAGCCAGTTTTCTGTCACACTCGGGGTTTTTCTCTTTGTTCCAATCCCCCTACCTTCTGTCTCTGTACGGGGGAGCTGTTTTCTTCTTCCTTCCTTCTTTCTTGCCTATTATACTCTCCACTCTTTAAAACCACTCCACGTGGGTCTGTGTCATTTTATCTAAATTGACACAAGATTAAGGACCCTGGTGTTCCTCCAGTTATCGGAGCCATATCATTTTGATCCATTGGCCGGGAAACTGAGGTACAGCCTTTGTTGGAGCGGTAAGTATGAGAGCAAGCTTAAAATCTGTTCCATCATTCACAAGGTGCTCTTGGCCTCTATATTAAAATAAAATCAAATAGATCAACCCAAACTACTTTCTGTGTGATATTCTCAGATGTAGAGCCTACTCTGCCTGCAGTCAAAAAGATATACTCATCTAAAAAGTCATGATTAAGCATCTGTATTTCCTTAGGAACAGGCATGCATCAGCCTAGTACATACACTTAGCATTGGCTGCCCTACTACAGACTCAGATGTGAGGCTTGCTGGTGAGAACATGGAGAACCCCCCCATTACCCATGAGTACTGGGAATGTTGGCCATGTTTTGAACTAGTTTCTTTTCACGGGGAGACCTCGCCATTGAGTAAGGCTGGGAAAAGTTCTGAGGTAACTGAGAATTTCTGGCCAGGGGACATCCTGGCATGATTCACAGGCCTCTGGACCAGACCCAGCCTCCAATAGCCTGTTCCGGGTGTTGGCAGAGAACCCTCAACTATTCTGTTGCAAAACTCTTCTTCCTTCTCTATCCGTGGCGTCTTACTCTTTCTCTGATTTAAATGTGCAGGTATTTTTACAGCCTAGGAAAGAAATCCTGTTAGGCAAGATCAGGAAAATGCCTCTAGGAACAGTTTCCCCATTCCTCTGCAGTGAAGTTACTTGCTACCGCGTCTCTGACAAGCACATAGTATTTCTAAGCTAACAACGCCACCTAGTGGAAATAGGAATCCTCTAGATGAGACACATTTTTTTCCTTTTTCTTTTATAGTAACACTGCAGCTGCTTTTTACACGTTAAAAATCAGGCTCTATGCTTCTTCTGGAAATGGGAAGTTTCTGCCTTTAGCAGCTAGGAGTAAGATGCCTAGGGACCGGGCGCGGTGGCTCACACCTGTAATCCCAGCACTTTGGGAGGATGAGGCAGGCAGATCACGAGGTCAGGAGATCGAGACCATCCTGGCTAACATGGTGAAACCCCGTCTCTATTAAAAATACAAAAAACTTTGCTGGGCATGGTGGAGGGCGCCTGTAGTCCCAGCTACTCAGGAGGCTGAGGCAGGAGAATGGTGTGAACCTGGGAGGTGGTGCTTGCCATGAGCCAAGAACATGCCACTGCACTCCAGCCCAGGCGACAGAGCAAGACTCTGTCTCAAAAAAAAAAAAAAAAAAAAAAAAAAAAAAAAGTCTTCCGCAGCCAGATTTTATTCCCACTATTGTCCCATCAGTAGAAAAATGGCCATTCGGTTCCTACATTCTTTTAAGGCACCTACTATGTCTCTGATTAAAACACTACTTAATTAGTAAGGTAATTTTAAATTCAGAAGTTAACCGGAACCATTTTTTTTTAAGGGTAAGTGCTTTAGCATGGGCTGTAATAGCAGGCAATCTAGCACATTGCCTCCACTAAAGGAGCCTTGCCCAAAAGTGACACAGTCTCCCCGGAGATCCATTTTTTAGAGAGCCAGGCAAATCACACAGGTTCTAGAAAGTCAAAGGGAAATCACACAAGGTGGATAAACTAAGGCTGCATGGGTAAGCGTGGTTAGCCCCATCACTTAGCTCATCCATTTCCATGGCTTAGAGGACCATGCCTACAACCATGGGGGGCATATTTAACATGGTGTCAGGATCCAGAAACCAGGGAGGGGAGACATTTGGAGGATGCTCCCTGTCTTCTCCACTCTGGCTCATACAGAAAGGAGACTAAGAGGATGCTTCTATTTTTGCTTCTTTTCCTAAATGGGTGTTAGAAACAAAATGCTTGTTTCTCAGTGCCTCAAGGAAAAATCAGGATTCAGACAGAAAGTTTTCTCAGCAAGGCAATTTTACTTTCTGCAGAAAGGGTGTTGCTCATCACCAATCTTGTCACAAGAGCACAATGAACAAAGAAAGGCAGGAATATTTATCCCTTATGCATTGGGTCGTTACTGCTGCATCCTATTTCCATTGATTGGAGCTGGACCTCACAGTCTAAGCTAAACCCGATTGGCTAACAACTTAAAACTTTCCTAAATAGGTAAAGGCAATGGAGAACAAAAGGAAAAGAGGAAGTTGCTTGAGAAAGGATTTAGAAAAGTAATAACATTTCCAAATAAGGAAGGGGCATAGGCTGCAAGCTGGGACACGCCTGAGCAAGTCCAGAACAAATATCTTTGTTAAAGTACAAGGACTTAGAATGTGCTTATTCCCTTATATCGAACAGTTACATAGGATAAAGCTTAACAAAGAGTTATTAGCACAAAGGCAAGGAGGCTTGGAGGAAGTTAGTCATTAAAGAAAATGATTATTTTTGCTGGGTGTGGTGGCTCATGCCACCACTTTGGGAGGCCCAGGCGGGTGGATCACGAGGTCAGGAGTTCAAGACCAGCCTGGCCAAGATGGTGAAACCCCATCTCTACTAAAAATACAAAAATTACATGGGTGCAGTGCCAGGTGCCTGTAATCCCATTTACTTGGGAGGCTGAGGCAGGAGAATTGCTTGAACCTGGGTGACAGAGGTGGAAGTGAGCTGAGATCAAACCACTGCACTCCAGCCTGGGTGATAGAGTGAGACTCCATCTCAAAAAGAAAAAAAAAAGAAAGAAAGAAAGAAAATGATTATTTTTAACATTTATTATTTATTCTTGAATAAGAAGGGAAACTTTGAAGAGGAGCTTTTTACTTTTCCACAATGGGTAATAAATTATCTTCAGCTTACACCCCTCTGGAGTGCACTCTGAAACACTGGAACTTCCTTAACCTCAGAACTTTAAAGAAAAAGCTCTTTTTTTTTTTTTTTTTTTTTCTTTTTTGCACAAGGGCATGGCATTTCTACTAAATCTTTTCAAGCACTGTAAAATCAACCCAGCTCTTTTAGTAATCATATCAGGCAGGCCCAGGGAAAATAATTCCCCCAAATTAGAGAAGCAAGTTCCAGGGGAACCATCTGAGGATTCCCTTATTTAGGGCCCCTTCAAGTTCCCTTCTTATTGCAGAATCCTAGGCAAGTAAAAGGAGACTTAGGCTGATTTTCTGACAACCCTGATAGGTATATAGAAGTTTTCTAAAATTTAACTCTGGTATTTGACCTCTCATGGAGGAATGTTACACTGCTCCTAAGCCAAACCCTAACTGCAGCTAAAACAGGCAGCTCTGCAAGCAGAAAATAATTTTGGAGATGAGCAATGTGTCTCCTATAGTAGGCCAAAAGGGAAAAGAGAAAATAGGGAGGGCAAAAAAATAAGGGAAACACCATTCCCAATAGGAAGAGAGGTATTACCTCTTAACAACCCTAATTGGAACTCCTTTCTATGGTGTTTTTCCTTCTTTTATGGTTTAAAATGACTTTTTTCTCTTTTATAATGTTCTTCCAACCTAGAAAAAGTTAATTTTCCAAGCCTTAAAATGCTTGGCTTAGAGTTGAACAAGGGGAAAGGGAGCCCAGAAGCCTGACATGCTGGCAAAGGGTAAAAATTTCTTACCAGTTGGGCTTTTGGCTACTCTCTCCCTGTGCAAACCAGTAAAAGGGATAAAAGAATCATTGTTTATATTCTCTGTAAATGTATAATCAATGGAAAAGGATTTGTAAAGTTGGTCCTAAGCTGTAGACAATCTGGTGTGCTTTGAAGGTCTTTCTGTATGGTTTTGTCAAAAAAAAAAAGGGTATCTTAGGTTACGATGCAGGACCAGGACCCCATAAGCCTGCTGTTTGAGCCAGCCCAACAAAACAGTCAGTAACAAACTTGGTTACAGGTCTCCATCT